GCTAACGATTCTGTGATTACCATGGCATCTACCTCTCTGACGTGTTCAACTAGAGGCTACTGCTACGCATCCATCGATTACAGGGATACCGTTTACAAAAAAATCAAACTTTTGGTATTACCCAGTCTACCTGCTGACCTGCTGCTAGGCCATGACTTCCTTGGTCTGTTAGTGCGCTACTTATAATTAGACTGCTTAGAATTCAGAAGGTGTTATGCACTAACAAGTTTATGTTTGTGATTACGAAAAAATACAAATGCTAGGCGCACCTTATAAATACAATGACAATGAAATAAAAGATGACTTATCGATAAGGCTTCGTTGGTTTGAAGGATCTGCAGATGCGGAGCAGGAATGTTCTACAGGAGTGGTTAGCTCTTGAAGATACTCCAGTCAGGTAGATCCGTTGTTGTGTCTTGTTGACTTGCCGCGTGCACGGGATGCTGCGTTGTGTTGAGCGCCTTGCGTATCTCCGTTGCGTGGTGCGTGGTGGAGTGTGTTGTGTTGTCAGGTTCATTATACCGCCCACTCCAGTTTTGATAAACCACGCGCTTGCCCGCTCTCCCACGCTAAGTGCCTGTAGTATGTCGAAGGAGTGGTGTACCATCGAAAGAGGGTGGCTCAACACTACTCAAATTACCACCTCTCTAACATGGAGCTCCGGGTAGCTTTTTCAAACCGTACCTTGGTTTTATCACATCTTAGACCGACGTACCTGAGAAGTGCGTGGACTACTACATGCGATGTGAAGTCTGGCAATTGGGTTTACATAGATCTCCATTACCCCACTTCCACGTAGTCTTTTGCACACATTTACCTGTTCGTTCTTGCGAAGACTCAGTAGAAACACCGCACCCGTTAGCATGTGCACCTGCGCCACATCGGCCGTAGGGTTTTCACAGTTTATCACTTCGCTTGCGCACAGAATCGCACACCCCCAAAAACATTCTTTCGCGATGATGTTAGCTGCTCGCCCGCTGCAGGTTCATTTATCGGTTCACTAAGCCTGGCTAGGTGTAGACGCTAACAGACACAGAATTCTGGGTTTGCACTGATTGACGAATACAATGCGCTTAGGTAAGGAAACCGAAGTAATTAGACATCGGCTCCATGCACATCAGGCTTGCGGTTCGTCCAACGATGGAAACAAATGGATGAACAGATTGATATTGGGAAATCCATTTATGCCCGTTTGGTCAGGTTAGTCTTAGTGATTGGTTCGCGGTTGTTCTGAGTGGTATACTTGGTGGAACATTGTGCGAATTTCGGAGGCTGACTTTAGGAGCATGACGGTTTTTTAAGGCTCTCACAAATGACTGGCGCAACAATGAAGGGTTGAGCTGCCTTAGGCGTAAGCACTTAAAATCAAGATGATGCATGTCTACATACAGATTAGCTGTACTAAAGCTATTGAAACTTATTGATAAAGGCCTGCTTTTTGACAGACGCTTTTCAGTTTGTTCGAAAGCTTCGGGGCGCGCCAAACAGTGTTGCCATCCTTAACCAGGAAATAAATTTCGTAGTGGTTTTTATGACATTCAGTGTAGATACTGATTAAATCTACTGCCGCAAATCTTTAGACAATGCCGAAAATACCGCCTTAATAGACGACACTTACGACCACTCATATGTACCGATAGGCAATAACACCCATCTCAGAACTTCACAATGAGGTATTAACACTCAAGCCTGTCTTTTACCTATTCCAAACGGACGATACTTTGCCCCGAATTATTGTATAAGGAGGAAAGATGTGCGATGTGACCAATCGGACCATGCAGCGATTCAAACTATTACCAGTCGTTTCTACGGCACGTGCATGCCGACCCCGCATTTGGTTCCGTTGTGGAGTCAATCGAATGAGATACCAGGTGTGGATTGAAGAATACGCCTTAAACTGCGCAAGGCAGTCGAAAAAGTCCTTCTAAAGCTATTGATCAATCCGAGCACTGGTGTTAGTGCTTATTCCAAGATTTTGTGTAGTACCACCTACCGTTCCCACAACACTGGCTAATTTTTTGTCAGTGAACCATGCCATTGTCGCATATCTCAAGTTGCCATACTGACCACACGAGCCCTGTCGTTGAATTTCCTGATAACATTGCAACAAAACACCACACCCAGGCGGTTTTGTGGAAACACAGTTGAACAACCTGCTGAGTTTCAAGCAGACAAAGCGGCAAAAGTCAACAAATCCGGTAGCGTGAAAGAGGACAAAGGCCTGTGCGGTTTTGTTAAGTTTGCGCTTTAGCATCCGGGTAACGGGTTCACTTCACATTCCGAAACTAACAAATAAGCTACCAATAGTTCACCAGCGAATGCTGGATGCATCTGAATTATGGCGTGCGCACAAGAGAACGCTTTAATGTTTGAACAAAGTGATTGCTTTGCACTATGCCATGTATGGCGATCCACTAGCTATTCTGGTTGCGTCCACTGATCGACCCGCTGTTCAGGGCTAGTCAGTCAGTTGGAGCCACAGAAGCCTGAGATCTTCTGTAAATACGAATGGCACAAAGTTTGAAATCACCTAAAAATAACATATCTTGTCGTCTAATTTACTTGACCACTCCACCAAACGCCTTCTGCAACTCCGTCATTCCAAACGGCTAGCGATTCCTAATTAATATCCTCGAGACAAATCACACAGTGTCCATCATACACTTCAACTGTGCAACTTTTCATCGGGCGGCCTATCTACAGCTTGACATATATCGCCACTTCGCGACTAGACACCAAACTGACATGTGCACTTACTTGCATTGTGGTGCCTCGTCTTCGGATCGAAATCAGAAGCATTTTCGGAAAAACCCAAAGGAAACCTTTGGGTGAACCTTTCAATGTGATATCTGAAACCACAAATCCAAGAACCAATCGCTTTTCTTGTTCTAGCGTGAAAACGTGTAAAGTTGCACGGATGGTGGTAGGTCACGAAGCGGACTCAAGATTTGTTGTTACCTCGGAAATCGATCGATATCGTAAAATTGTAGTAAAGCCTGGGAAGCACGCAACAGAGTCGGTTTCCAGGCCTGAGGACAAACTATGGTACATCAGGTAAAGCCAAGCACATTGTCATAAGTTGTTATACGTCGTCTTCCGGCTGCTGATATCTTGCACATAGTGGAATTCGCACTGCAACCTGCTACTATGGGGGTCGGTTGCCCAGGCCAGAAACAGATGAGAGATATTGGACAGAGATGTTAATATGAATTGAGCTGCATCTTGGATGCATAGAATAAGTGACATACATCTAATGGATGGACTGTTGATCAGGATGCGTGTAAAAATCCGTCGGGAGTACGCAGCCACTATTGCAAGAATGATTAAAGACTAGTGATAAAATGCTTTAATTGGCTGTGTGCTGTTTTTTCCTCAAAAATAGCACGATGCACCGAACCAAAGGACTACCTGTGTAGGCGGATTCTAGACCCATTCAATAGATAAACACCTGGAAATGGAAAACCAGAACTTAAGCCTGGTACGGAAATCTTAAACAGAAGTGACCATATGAGACTTCCTTAACCGACCAAAAATAGTGATGTCAAATTCACTTTTATGTGCAAAAAATTGCGACGTTTTGTAGAATAATTTCCTACATAATGGACAGACGGCTAGTCACTGGTAAGCTGGAGATAAACGGGTGTGTATAAGAACTGACAATAAGCACTTGTTGATGCATCGAACAAATCAGGTGATTCAGAGAACCGCTTTATTCATGAGCACATATGAGGGCAGCCGAATGAAACGAGTGATGATATCATTCTGAGAAACAGGTCCACTTGAAAGGTCCAAATAATTTTGTACACTTTCAAATCACAGATGCAACAGTAGACAGAGAGCATTTCAATGATGTTCTTGCTATGCTGAACCGCTGCCCTGCAGATGTCAGTGGTGAAATGGCGACAGCACGAGCAACAAGCGCATGAAGGTTCGGATATGTAGACTATCGTCGGAATGGAACAAGTAGATTTCTTGCAAAAGCCTTCACTGACTCCACTCCGCGTACCTCTTCTTCCAGTTGAGGCAACTGAACCACATGCATATCTTCATACAATTCCAAGATTTGTTCCAAATATTTCGACTGGATTTTATGACGAGCAGTGCACATACGACACGAAGTTGGTGGTTTGGGGTTGCGACACGTATTCGGATCGCCTGTACTTTCGCTGTGATGATCAGCAGGTGAGAGTAAGTTTGGGAACAGAAGCTGGTTGACGATTATGTTGTGCACATCGATGTCCTGAGCCGTCAATTCCTGAAAGGCACGATAGGGTTCAATCGGTAAGAAGCGTCTTTTTCAGGTCATAAAATGCAGGCGTTCTTCACGTAAGAGATCACTTCAAACGAGCAGTCTTTTTCTGAGAAGGAATCTGCAACTGAAATCCACATTAGCCTACAACTGAAGACTGTCTCTCCGAAGAGAAGACGGTCAAAAATGAAATAGGGTCACCCATGATCGGAAATACTAGCTTCGTTTAAGCTTAAATATGCCTTAGGGATCCTTGCAATGTAACTATCCTGGTGTGATACGAATCAAGCTATCAAGCCTGCAACTGGACTATCGACAGTCCTAAAAACTCAATCTACTCAGGAAATCTGCATTAGCGGATGCGGAGAATTGGAGCCAAACGGACCCAGATGTTTGAAACTTCGGAGGATATAAAGTTACCAACCTCATGCGGGTATTGTGCTAATACCAAAAGGCCTCATGTTTTTGGGTACTCGTCCAACATGAAAAAAGGAGTACAGCGGAAGTGTCCGTTCGACTCAACAGTATGTGTCCGTATGTCTATCCTCGCTGTCGCGCTGCACTAAGGTTTTCATATCATAGAAGTGAAGTTTTATGCAAACAGGTATGCTGATAAGCGCTTTAAGAGTGTCTTTGCGGATGAAAAACGGTCTATAAACTGAGGCGACCGTCATTAGGAAGTTGAGATGTTCGTACTTCTACACAATCTGCCTACGTAGTTCGACGCCGGATGACACCTGAGCAAGAAAAAGCAACCTAAGATATAGGTGCCGATTAAAGACCTAAGACGTAGAGTTCCTCTAGTTAGTGTCTAGTAATCAACAGAGGTAGATGCACAAGATGTTGTCTAAACGTTGGATCGACGACTAGGTACTTGCAGCAGAAGCAAGTGGACTCCGAATATGACCACACCTGTCACCGTCATTATCTTAGTCGACAGCATAGCACTGATGCTTCGCTGCTGTAAACGCACTGAGTCATCTGACAGGGCAAATGAGGCAACCTCCACGAGGCGGAGAATCTCACCACGATATCCATCCTGAATAATTTGAATGTAATTGAACCGCGCATCAACTAATATGACAAGATGAAGGGCGTGAGCAGTAGTTTACAAGGCCCAGCTACGAATGACATGGACAAAGTGTACAGGAGGTGAGAGCGCTTCAATTTGTGAGGTGCATTTCGTTGCGCGGGCATACTGGACGCTAGTGAGGGCGAAAGCCCGTACCAGTGAAAGGAAGAAGGCCTTCGCTGCAGAGTTACTTATTCGGAAACGCCAACTGACCAGTTACAGACCACTGAACCGGGAAGCAAAACTCTAATCTGCATCTTAGTTACAAAAACTGGACACCGATCTTCTCCCGAACGAGGTTTCTTGAACTTTCCTGGAGAGTTATTGATTCCACTCATTTGTCGGTCAAATCCAAGCAAATGTTACAAAGTGGCTCCACGAATTCCGCAACAGATCTCCCTTTTCCAATAGATGCAAAGCGAAATTCTACGAACACATACTACTCGCGTGCCTCCCCATCAGTAGTATCACCGTTACACCAGTACACGCAATGATAAGAACCTGCTATTTGGTTCCATTTCAGTAATAAGCAAACCGACTGCGCATCACAAAACCTCAGTCCAGCTGTAGGTAACCACCCCCCCCCCCGAGGATTTGTTTGCGCTAAGGCGAATTTGGAGAAAGGCACACGGCAAAACTTATTGCCTGTAATATAAACTGGTGGGTTGAGAAATCCACTTGACAGTATAAGCCTTCAAACAGTTTTGATGGAAAGTTCACCCTGCAAATAAAGATCGTTTATGCTGGAAAGCCAAGAAGCAGTGTGAAGCTGTTTCATTATTACTGGCAATTATCAGCAGCCAGTATTTCACGGTTCTCCAATAGGATTCGAATCCGAGACTTCCCGGCCAGCATTTGAAGGCGTAACCGTTCAACCGTCATCAACAGTGTGGTCAACTTGGACCGAGACAGACACAATGCTGCCGGACAATTTATTCGTAAGCTACTAGCCAGGTTGTGGGTTCGACCCCTCCTTTCGAAGATTCGCAAACGTTGATAATTGTCAATATAAATGGAGCAGCTGTACCGAGCTTCTTGGCTTTTCTCTATATCGAATTAAGGGACAAAATCTCCATTGAAAAGCTAGTTTGGCAGGATCGAACAGGGTAAAACTCTACCGGAAACAAAAAAGCTAGTGTTAGAACTTGAAGCTCGTATTGTAAACCGTCCTATTTGGGCTGTCGGTGGCAACGTCACAATGGGAAACACTTCAAACTGCGCACTTACCTGAACAAGGCGTTCGGTCTCATACATACTGAGAAATTCTGGAATGCAGACACAGACAAAAGTAGTCTGTTGCGGATCCTTGAACTGTCGAGTGATCTCTTTCACGATTGGAAGACGGCTCTCAAGAGCATTGGTTAAATCGCTGCTCTGTAAGTTGTTCATCCCGAGAAAGCTCATCATCTGATTCAAAAACGGCGCCACCTATAGAGAAATAAAGAGGAACCCGACACACAAACACACACGTGAAGAAGTCGGACGACTGATCAATAGTCGAGTTTCGTTGCAAGGCTGATCAGAAAGCCCGAGTTGGGTGGACTAAGATTCGAAAATGGACCAATTTAATGGTAGAATTCCAAAGAATTCAGGTAGTGAACTTACCAAAATCGCACACATACCGGGTACATGGACGTAAATCCAGCTAGCGATATGCTAAAGGATGAAATTTTGTCTTGGGCATTTACATAAGTACAGCGACACAGTAAATAAGAATCCAATCAGTTCGTTACGAGTATGAAGACTTTAACGCCCCTTTTGGGATGATAATCTCTACTCACACAAGCGTTTATTACACCTCCGCATAATCAAATTATTTTACGGTATTTTGGTTCATTCCGAGAACAGTTTGGGTCAATCTTGGAGCAATCAATTAAATCCCCCGACACCTAGCGCAACTGACTAGTGAAATCGTTCAGCTGCAGGATCCTTTCGACGTCCATCTGCCATGCCAACGGAAGGAGGCACGCGGGCTGGGATACCACCAGGTTGCCCAGTCGAGATGGGGGGATTCGAGATGCTGACTAGGTCACACAGCCAACCCAGCTAACAGTTCTACTTTGCTGCATAGGGTACATTGATTCGGTTTCGGTAGAGTTAAGCCAGAAAGGTTCACGAGTAAATACTAAAAACAACCTAAACACTCGACCAGTCTCTGCCCACCTTGAGGAAGGATATATATATATATATATATATATATATAATATATATACTGCATGCACTCATTCCACAAAATGCAAATGTCACGGTGAAAATAAACCAAATAGAGAGCATGATGAGAGGCATGACAAAAGGCTCACTTGATTTTTCATCGCAACCACTTTGGTTAGACTCTTTTCCATTGCTTCTGGAAAAGCCAACAGACGGAGAGTATGCCCAGTTGGTGCCGTGTCGAATATCACCACAGAGTAGTCCAAGTTCCTCACGAGTCGAAACACCTCTGTGTATGACATGTATTCGTCAATTCCCGGAAAAGAGGTCATCAGGTGCGTGATGCTCCGACGAATATCGGCCGAAAGCGCAGCCTCTTCAGAGCCTACCAAGTCTTCTTCGAGCTCCGTGAGATTAAGATTTGGGTCGATTTCCATGGCATATAGGTTATCAAAACCCTGAAATTAGGTGAATGTATTAGAAAAGGCAAACCATACAGAAAGGCAAAAAATAATTATCACGGGAGATCCGTCGCCCAGAGGAAAAAGCGACTCGTGTAAAAATAATAATGAATCCGAGGAAGGGTATCTATCTTTCACTTCTTGTTTTAGCGTTTCCAGCTGAATCTGCTTGTCAAGCAGAAAAAACCCTTCTAATTGCCCCAATATCCAGTGTAAGTTCTCACTGAGTTGAGGTTGCTATACCCGCCCTAAGTCAGCTCCAGTCAAGCAGTGGACAAGCAGTGAACAAAAAAAGTAGTATTGCTGAACGTACGAAGTAATGTTCATTGGTAATGCACTACTCATAAGGTTGCTAAAACTCCTCGACAGCCCACGACCGGTTTAGCCCTTCTTGGGGCTCATCAGGCAGGCGCAGTCCCCGAGTTTCCGCTAACCTTGTCTTCTACTTGAAACCAAATTGCACGAAATAAGCGAAATACACTCATTTGCAAACTGATTTGGTTTTTCGAGACTCATCTGGAACCCGGCAAAATTTCTTGTTTGTGATGTGAACGTAAGGTTAACGGAAACTCGGGGACTGCGCCTACCTGACGAGCCCCAAGAAGGGCGAAACCGGTCGTGGGCTGTCGAGGAGTTTTCAGCAACCTTATGAGTAGTGCATTACGAATATACATGCGTCGCGATATCTCGAATATCGTAGCGACTGAAACATGAGGCGGTCTGGTACAATACATTCAGGGCGACCCGAAATCTTCGTACTTCTGGATCTGTTGACCATTATGTTCTCTTTAGCAGGTTTTCTCAACAAATAATGTCTCCAAGGTTAGTAAGTATGATGGATCTTTGTAATCTCAGGCCTCTGGACGTGTGTGTATATGGCGAGCTCTCCTGAGGGTTTCCAACTCCCTCGAGTTAATCAGATGAATGTAAAAGGTTTCCAATATCCCCGGTTCAAATAGGTGCTCACGTAAACCTTGTCACATTGGAGTTTGCAGACCATATTGTCCTCGTCTTCGAAGAGAACAGGTTACATAAATTCCAGAATGAACGGGACACCGTCATCTCATCCTTCCGCAAGCACCTGGCACCCAAAAAGTGCAAAGCCATGCTCCCGTATAAATAACGACTTAACACGTCGACCACAATCCAAGGAGCAACATCCCGTGAAAGTTATATAGGCTACACCTGCAGGTTGACAGGTAACGTAAATGCATGAACCTCTATGGTGAGGGTGGTGTTTACCAATCTGACACTTTTAAAGACAAATCCCCAAGTCTCTTGGTCTCATTAAACACGTGTGTTTGGTCGTACGCTTGTGAAACATGACCTCTGCAAGCAGCGGAACTGAAACGCCTCAGGTCTTCGATGACCAACATCAGATCTATAACTAGTGAGTGACATGGTATATATGAAAAAAATATTGGACCACACATCGGGAATCTCGATCTGAGAATGTGTCCACTACCAGAATCTGAACGCCGTGTCACCAAAAAGGATTGCTCTGCATGTTCGATCCAGAGTGATTCAAGCAGAGTGATCAACTCATAAATTGGCAGACGATCATGAAGGCTTGAGTGAAGTCGGTGTGATCCGACCTCTAGGGTGGGATCCACGTGATCCTTCACGTGCTTGGCCAGCGTTGCAAAGTATTTCTATTGACCAACGCCTATAGCGTTCTTGAAATCAGTTCCTATCCGGATTGTCTGAATAAATGCCTGGAGGTGTACACATATCTGAATGTTTGTTGTAGGTCAGTGCCAGGTCCTTCCCTCTAACATACTATTCTTTTTCACAGTTTGGCCTCCCAACGGAGTACGGTTTATAATGCAGTGAAACACCGGTGTTTAGCAGTGGTGCTGTGCTGTCAACGATGATTCATCTCATATGCCTCCAGCGCGAATGAGCCCTAGCTTGGAAAACCAACTTCGGTAAACACAGGGTCCCCCGGTGCCTTCAATCAACTGATATAAACAACCAGCCTATTATTTCACATGTAAAACCGAACGGAAACTGATATTTAGTTTAACTGGTAGCAATTCAGTCCGTCATCGTACCACTCGACAGGGTAAAACAAGAAAGTCTGAGGAGAACGGCGATGTAATTAGCCCCTAGTGCACGCATCTATACAAACACTTCATTTTCGTGCATGCTCAAAGTTGAAAGAAGGCCAGTATGGGCCCACCGGAAGGGGAATACTGCGCAGCTTGACAACAAGCAGAACATATGCACACACAAGTTCATGAGGCTGAGTAGGTGACGAATTGTGCTCAAGATAAAAGCGTTCAGCTGTAGCACCTTTTCGGTACTTAGCTGACCTGCCACCTAAAGGAAGCTCGAAGGCTGGGATACTATCAGGTTTCCCAAGCCTAGACAGGGGAAGTCGATAGGCAAAGGTCGGGTTCGAACCACGGAACTTTCGGTCAGTAAACTCGCCCTCTAACGACTAAGCCACCCCGGCCCCAGATGGCCAGGATACTCAAGTTCTTTGTTAGGATTGAACCATGTCTACTATATTTCAACCGATTCAGCAAGATGTCGCCAACTGATGAGAATCAGGTAATACGCCCACACGAAATTCAGAGTGCCATCCATCGTGCGGTTTCTCCCATTCATGGGTGTTCTGTTTGCTGAACAGATGAATCACAATCATTCTTAAATGTCACTGCCTTCATAAGTTAATACAAATGGAAAATTATGGGTGCAACCAAAGCGTATTATAACGCAGACACTTATCTGATACATCGACAAACTTTGCCAATTTATTAGCGAGTATATTTATTTGTTGTCATTAGGTTTTGTGCGCTTAAAACGCATTCTCGTTTTGTAAAAAAAACTGAGCTTGGAAATCCACCATCGAAAGGTAGGCTACTTACTTTCACTTTGGTTGGTGTTCTGGAAAACTTCTGATCGAAGGCATCAGATAAGTTGTGAGCAGGGTCTGTACTGAGAATAAGCACGCGCTCACGGACTTTGGCCAGTTCAGTCGCAATACAGCAACTGCATGTGGTCTTGCCAACACCTCCTTTGCCACCCACAAAAATCCAACGAAGTGTTTTTGCATCCAGTAAATTCTGAATGGATGGTTCGGGTATATCCATTTTTAGGCCTTCCACGTGAAACAGTTTACCTTAAACGTAAGGAATATATTTAAGACGCGAGAAAATTGGGAGCCCGTATAAACGAACCAGTATATTATAGATAGGCAACACATCTGACGGGTGATAATTTACTGCACCTGTCTTCCGTGGGAAGATGAATCGGTCCAAATAATACCTTGAGTTGTTGCTGTCCATAGGCAAAGGTCAGTGACCAAGACCACGAAAAGGGTTTTTTCTTGGTCCAAGTGTTCAAGATGGTGGCCGGAGCATTCGGTCGTATTCTTAATTGCGGATACCCAGATAAAAGATAAAAGATAAAGCGTTCAGCTGTAGCACCCTTCCGGTGCCTAGCTGCCATGCCACCCGAAGGGAGCACGAGGGCTGGGATACTGCCAGGTTGCCCAAGCCTAGACAGGGGAAGTCGAGTGGCGGAGGTCGGATTCGAACCGCGGACCTTCAGGTTAGGTAAATCCGCCTCTAACCACTTCGGCCATCTCGCCCCCAGGCTTTCGGCAGACCTATAAGACGACAGTGCTGTCCTGCACCAACCGACCAACTCGCTATCCGGCTTAGACATGACATGTCTGAACTATTGAGGATGTCGAGTTTGAAGACTTCGGTGAGAGGCAGAATGATGCGGCAGTGTCTTGCGAACTTTGTAAAGGCGTCTTAAACACTAGTGGGAAAACGCATCTAGTCGACAAAGAGCGTCAAACTGTAGAGGTAAGGTCTCAAAAGTAAACATCAGCGCAAGTCGAACGTCGGAATGCTATTTGTGTAGCCTCGTATTAAGGCTGTTTTCTGATCCTCAAAAGGTTTTTTACAATTGCTACATTATTTCTGCAGGTGGTAAGTTCCCCTCCACTGGGACATCCAGTAGAATGACAGAAACCATGAAGATGAGAGAGACATCTTCGGACACCTGGTAGGCCCGCAAACCCATGCTTGGAGTTTAGCTCCAACCCAACAAGCAAAGCTCACTGACTGATGCGATCAGGGACTGTTTGTAACTCTGATGTTCGGATGTCCAAATTGCAGGTCATCGATGTAGTGGGGACCTATCCTAGAAATAGGTGTACAGTCAACCAAAACTTTCTGCTTGGGTGTACGGTTTCAGAGCGTGGTTGGTATGACACCAAAAAGGAGACCGAGAGTCGACAATAGTACCTCTAAGATCTTCAAAACTAGACAGAAGCTATCACAAATTTGGCATTTGTGCCTAGGTAGCAGACTACGATATTCAGCGGTCCACCTGACGTACCTCCAAGACGAACCATCCCTCATTGATTGCGTCAGATGCTGTGAGGAAAACCAGCAACGCAAGCAATGGTTGGTTGTTGGAAACTGTAATGCCACTTGTGCATTTGGTCAATACAACTTCTTCCTGAACAACGGTCTCCATTATTCAGTTTGATGGGGGACTATCGCCGCCCTGATGCGGCGCAGTAGCAGTATCACGGTACCGCAAAGAGCTCAGTATATGGAAAACAACCTATAAAGAAGTAACAGCTATCACGCCATCAACCACTTCAGGGTGAGCACAAACGTCCTAAATCCAAAAAAGTCGTTTATCTGTACCACCCTTTCGGTGCCTAGCTGCCATGCCCGAAGGAAGCACGAGGGATGGGGTACTGCCAGGTTGCCAATCCTAGACAGCGAAGTCTAGAGACGGAGGTCGGGTTCGAACCACGGACCCCCTGGCCAGTAAATTCGCGCTCTGATCACTGAGACAGCTCGCCCCAAAAAACTCATGGTCAACACGTTAATACTTATCAAAGAGATGGCTTTCTGGGGGCAGATTTTTAGCTCTTGAAGACTCTGATTCCCAGGCTCAAAACCAAGGAATATGGAATTAGCGCATCATGCTGCCCGTCAGGACAAAAGGCCTATCAGTTCGCTTTCGCCGGGTATTTTGTCGATGGTCCTAGTGTTCCCTTTCGGTATATCGCCTCAGTCACCAAGTATCAGGCGGCTGCCGCATATTTATGGGCACCGCACGACGAACACATCCGACAAAGAAGTTGCGGAACTGTCCACCAATGGAGCAGCGCAGTGCTAAATACTAAGCACGTCTGGTACTAACATATCATTACAGTTCACAGCTGACAACGATCTGGGAACCGGAAAAACGCCGGATATGGATGTGCCGCCGTGCACGTCGGGCCGCTAAACCCACTTCAAAGTTGCCTATATGCGAACGCAGCACTTGGAAACGAGAGATCATGACACCCAATACAAAGACTCACACAGGACCAACCTCTACAACTGCTGTCCGATAGCACTGCTTCCCACAGCCCTTGAGGTGGTGAAGAGTATCATAGATTGTGTCATCCAGTCTCATACAGGGGACACGTGTCTAAAACAAGTCTTCTTCCAGCTCCCGACTTCTAGACAACAATAATCCGAATAACGTAGTTTACCCGGACGTTTCAAAAGGATCTGAGTGGGTCGATCACCCAGTCCTTCCGCGTAAGCTGTCGCGCCTGGGGAATGACCGGTAAACAATTGCCTGGCTGAATGACTATTCATCCGAACGAACTTACGAAGTCCGTATCAGCGGCACACTCAAGTCAAATGCCTGTGACTACCGGAGTATTCTCGGAGTCCAATCTCGAATCCATGCTGTTAACAATTTTAACCAACACCTGTATATCGTTACTCGCGGTCATCAACATCATCATCATTATCATCGACAGCATGACATCAGTGTTCAACACCGACGCTTTACTGTCGTACTGCCATGATTTATTTGAAAGCCTTATTGTAAAGAAAAGAATAAAGGTGGACGGGGAAGGGACTTAGCTTAACACAATATTCCGAGGTGCCTACACCTCCAGACATTCCCTCAGGTAATCTGGATAGAAACTGACAACAGGAACGCCACTGACATCGGTTGGCAGCCATATCTTGTAGTGTCCCCAACCAGGCACAGTAAGGATCACGCGGTCCCCATCCTGGAAGAGGAGTAGCACCGACAGCACCAAGCGTTTCGTGATTTCCTTCATACTCCGTGCCAAGTAAAGGGTTCGCAACCTTTCTGTTTTCGCCACTCCGAATTGGGCGTGGAAAACAGTACT